CAGAAGTTTCTGCCTCGCCAGCAGCTCCCAAATAAACACGCTGCAGCTTATATTAATTAATATCTGCTCAGCAGGTACTCACAAGGCTCATGGATTTACCTGTCCTCTAGTACATCTTGCTTCCTCTCCATCTGGTTGGTGACTCCTCTGACTCCACCCTTCATCCCAGTATTATGTTTGGCTGTCCCACCTATACTTCCTGCCTGGCTACCAGCCAATCAGCTTCTTATCAACAATGAGAGCAACACATTTTCACTGTGTACAAAAGGATTATTCCACAGCACAACTGTTGGCAGCAGAGAAGGGGCTGCCACAAAAGTGGATTGGTTCCTGGGGCTCACTGGCCAGTCAGGCTAGCCAATGTGTGTGTGAGATCCAGAACCAGAGAGAGACCCTCTCTCAAAAAATAAGGTGAATAAGTAATGGAGAAGACACCAGCAAGCACACCTGTTTACACTCATATTCTCACGTGTGCGCACACACAAAGCAATAGTGAAGCAAACAAGGTCATCTATCCCAACATTTTAACAATTCAACACTGCCTCCAGTAGGTTTTTTTTTTTTTTTTTTTTTTTTTTTTTTTTTTTTTTGCCAAGACAAGGTTTCGCTGTGTAGTTCTGGCTGTACTGGAACTAATTCTGTGGACCAGACTGGCCTCCAACTCAGGGATCCACCTGCCTCTGTCTCTGTCTCAGAATTAAAGGCATGTGCCAACACACCTGGCCTACATCATTTTTTTACTCTGGACATGCAATTGTCTTTTCTTTTTTTTTCTTTTGAGGTAGGGTTTCATGTAGCCCAAGCTGGCCTCAAACTCACTATGTAGACAAAAGGGGACCTGATTCTCCACTTCCACCTCCAAGTGTTGAGGTTATAGGAGCAGGGTACCAGGCCAGATTTTATGCAGTGCTGGAGACGAAATTCAAGAACCTTCAACATAGGCAGGTACTCTATCTACTGAGTGACATCCCCAGCACTAGTTGTGATTTTGCTTAACTATTTTTTATCTGTTTCAGCTGAAGTAGCCGCTGTTGAATTGTCTTCAAGTTCACCAATTTCTTCCTTAGCTGTGTTGAACTTATTGATGAGTCTTCAAATCTTGAGCATGTCTGTTTCTAGTGTTGCATATGTGTGATGATTTCTTGCTCTGCTAAAATCCTGCTTGTTTACATTGCCTACATTTTCCATGAGAACTCTCCGGAAGCATCGTTCTCTTATATTCTGTCAGACAGCTACAGCTTCTGGGCCTCAGACCTGGACCTCCTCATTACTCTGACTTGACAAAAGGCTTTTTTGGTTGTTGTTGTTGTTTTGGTTTTTCGAGACAGGGTTTCTCTGTATAGCCCTGGCTGTCCTGGAACTCACTTTGTAGTTCACGATGGCCTGAAACTCAGAGATCTGCCTGCTTCTGCCTCCCGAGTACACAATTAAAGGTGTGTGCCACCACACACGTTTTTGGTTTTTAAAAATATGCTTCCGTATGTATTGAGATTTCTGACCGCTCTGTGGACATAGTACATGGAATTATAGGCACTAAGTACAATGTCACTTGTGCCTGGGAATTGCTGTCTTGTGTAGGCCATTAATGTGAGGGACTGAGTTGTCTCTGTCACTGTTCTGTCATCTGGATTCCCACACATTCTGCACCTGTCCAAGCCACAGTGGGCCTTTAGCAGTTCTAGTAAATATTTTAGTTTTAATAATTCTTCTTATCCTCATGCACGGAGATTTATATCCCCCTCAGAAGTAAACCAGTGCTTATAATCTGTGTCTTCTTGGAGGCTCCTGGCCTTTGGAATTCACATTAATTAGTTGCAAATGTGATTCTCTGAAGGTTGGCAGATACTGTGAAGACCGTCCAAGTTTTAGGAATTGTTATTAGTGTGGTAAGGCTCTCCCCAGCTGCCTGCATCCCAGCCAGAAGCCAGAGTATCAGGCCATCTGCTTTTTACTGCTTTTTCAAATCTCCTGGCCATCCATTCCTTGCCAGCCTGGGTCATTCTTCTGGATGATATACACTTCCAGTGTAGCTCTCTTCCAACCAGTTTTTGGCAACTCTCTGGCAACAAGAAAGGGTCAGACATCCCTAATCTTTCATCATCTTTGATTGAACGTATTCTCTGAATGAACTGATCGATCACAGTCAGTTACAGAGTGAACTCCTGGTTTATACTTTCCCCCTTCTCACCACTGCATTTGACCAGTCCAAAAAAACAAACCAAAAAACCATGTGTCCTTCTTCCAGAGATGAGCTTGAAAATGGGGCAGGGGTGGGAGATGGTATGAGCCAGTAACATGTGACCTTGGGAGCTGAAAATGAGACCAAGTATCGACCTCATCCATTAATGAGAAATAAGACTCAAGCTTAATAAAGTATTTCTTGAAAAATGAAAGTTGTAACAGGATAAAAGAGCATGCTAGGCACTGTGGTGACAACCATCTCAGGAGGCAGCCTGTCCGGGTTCCAATTCCAACCCTGTCACAGACTAGCTACAGGATCTTCAACAGTTCCTCCACTCTCTGTAGCTCTGTTTCTGTGTATAAAGTGGACATATAGCACTTACGTCAAAGGATTAAGGGTTAATATGTGTAAAGCACTTAAAGTAACTCCCATAGAAGTGCTGACAGTTAGGACTCCCTTCCTATAATGTCACAAGTTCATGGTAGGATGCATTTCTTTCTCTTTCTCAGAACCTACCCAAACCAAGAGAGCAGAGGTTTATGGAGCATTTCCAGTGCACCCGAAGTTCTACACTAAGTATTTTGTATGAATTTTAAGAGCGGGGATTAATTATTACTAGTTAATAGACAGGATCAAAGATCAGAGAAGTGTTTGCCTAGGTGGCTAGAAGCTTCAGTAGGTTTACAACTCAAAAAGGGGCACTGACTCCAAGACCTGTAATCTTAACTACTTCACTCCTTGTCCAAAGGAGAAAGTTGCTTGCTGTAGTTACCTCACAGAGTTGTTCTCGCATCTAGTCCCACAGAAGAGTCAGTGCCTTTGGATTGCTGGAGAATGATCTGTAGGGAAACCCAAATGCAACCTGCTTCTCATAGCTCACATGCCGTGCCTCTTCCCTGCTTTTCCAGACTCCACTTAGAAGCTGAGTGTGGAGGCAGAGGCAGGAGTTCTGAGTTCAAGGCCAGCCTGATCTACAGAGCAAGTTCCAGGACAGCAGGGCTACGCATAGACCCCGGTCAAAAGGGGGCAGGGGACCGACACAGGGACACTGTGTTACAATACCAGATCCTAGATTTTATTCTAGCAAAGGGGTTAGGGGGACTAGAACATGACGACACTCGTGCTCCGAACTGTCCAAGCTGACTGTTATGTGAAGAATGCAGCTAAGCTAGAGAGGACACAGGAAAACCCGAGGGAGGCTACTACAGTGGGGGCCAAAGGCAGAGAGTGGTGGAGATAGGAATGGTGGATTGGAAAGAAACTTAGGCAACAGAATTGACATGAAATGGAGGTGTTGTTTTAATATGGGCTTCAAAGGAAAGGAAGATGCCAAGGACGGCTTCCAGACAGCTTGACCCCAACACAGATTTATAATGGAACACACACACACACAGAGTCACTCACACTACTTTCAGGGGCTAGACAGCGAGGGGATGGGTGAGGGAGGGGGAAAAATGGGCACGGAGTCTTGATCCAGGAGCTGTTATACTGGACACTGCTAGCACTGGTCTGAGTCAGGAGGTGCTACAAATGGGGCAGTTTCCGTCTGGACCGCCCACCCACGCCAGGCCGGACGTCTGGCATCTCTGCTAACACCTCGAGGTGTTGGCTCCCTGCCGGCGTGGAGGGTGCGGCGCTGGCTCATCCCCTCCAGCACCTACCGGCCCAGCGCGCTGACCGGTAGGGCGGCGGCTCGGTGTGGTCCAGGGGCCGGCTGAGGGAATGCAAGGTCCCGGGGTCATCGCCGCAATGCACCTGTCTCATTGGGCTGCAGCCGACCCTCGCTGCCCCATCCCGCACCTCCTGGAGAAGTATGCGCGTAAGCGTGGCCAGGGTGTTCGAGGTGCGGCGAGGCGGGCAACGGGTGCGTGCGCGTGGTCGTTGCGTGGGCGCTGCTTGCGAGTCGGAGCGCATCAAGTGTGCGTGGGCCGGAGCCGGCGCGTGTGCCCGCCGCCGCCGTCGTGCGCTGGGCGGGGGTGCCGCAAGTGCTTCAGGGCGCGCGCAGCCCCGCGCGGCGCTCGCGGCCGCCGGAGCAAGGAGGGATGCGTGCGGCAACTTTTCGCCCGCCCTGCCAAGTCCGGGTCGCGGCGTTCCGAGGGGCTGCCCCCCGCCGCCGGCCCCGAGTGCCCGCCCCGCCCCCACTTCCGCCTCCCGCCTCTTCCTCGTTCCCGGCTCCCAGGGCCGCCGGTCCCCAGGGAGCCCCGCAGGCATAGCCCCACCCGGCCGGCCGGCGCTGCTCGCTCCCACGCCCCCGCCGCCGCTCGTCGGGAGCGCTTCCAGTGAGCCAGCGGGGCGCGGGCGCTGCAGGTAGGGGGTGCGCGGGTTAGGCTCAGGTGCGGCGGACCGGGGCCACGCAGCACGGGAAAGCGGGGCGCCCTCCCCCGCCCGCCCCGTCTTCGCCCACGCGCTGGTCCCCTTTTAGGGAATTCTTTGCCTCTTGCCTCCTTGGGCGCGGGTGGGGCTGGGGCAGAGGGCGTTCTCCATTTTCCTGGCTCCTGCCTGGCTCTCAGTAGCCTGTCTCCTCATCTCCACTCTTGCCAGTACCCATGGTCGCGTAAACAACTGCTTAGCTCTAGGTCTCAGCTCCGCAGCCCCTGGTGGGCAATCTCTTCAACCTGGTAAGACCACAGCGTCAGGGGGAGGGGAGAGGGGAGAGGCATCCGGGTGGCCCCGGTTCGCGGCAGCTCGCCTCCCCTCCCCGCAGCTCTGCAGACCGCCCCTGGGGCCCTGGGTATTTTTAGCGTTGTGACCTGGGCGGCAGCTAAGAGTCTTTCTCTGGAGTCCGCGTCAGCGTCTCCCTTCTCCGAGGCCAGCCGGTGGCCACATCAGCTCCCGGCACTTCCTTGGCCCTGCCTGGCTCATTAGTTTTGGGTTCCTCGTGAGCTTACTCTAGTTAGTGCTTGAAGACCTGGCCAAGAGCAGGGATACATATGCAGATGAGGTTTTTGGAGGATGGCAATTTGGTCCTCACCCTAGAAATTTTCCTGCTCCTGGTGATAGGTTCAGAGCAGTGTACCAGGAATGAGAATAAACGCACAGGGCTGTCCCCAGAGCGCTGGTGTTCTGCAAATTTCAGCACTGGGAATCTAGAGGCCTGATCTGAACTGTGCCCAGGCCCCACCCTTCTAGTTGGTACTTGCTAGCAGGAGAGGTAAGCTCGACAGATGTGTGAGAGGAGGGGACAACCCTTAGAGTTCAGAGGAAAGGTGGTCAGCGTTCGAAACAGCTCTCCTTCACAAAGTATGGCCATGGAATGCTTCAGGTAGGACAATGTCTTCAGGTGGGGACCTGGGGCCAGAAAGATGGTTTTCCAAGGTGCAGAGACAAGTCAGGAAGTTAGGTCTTTGACTTCATAGAAAGGATTCGGAGGTCATGGGGATCGTGGCAATGGTGTACATGGAGAAAAAGAGAACTGTGGGGGAGGAAAGTTGCTGTAGTCTTTCCTTGGGTTTTGAAGGGGTGGGGAGAACCAGAGGTGCTGCGCCCTGTGCCCTGTGCCTTGCCTTTTCACCTTCTTCCCTACCCTCTGAGGGGAACTAGGTCCATGAAATGGCCAGGCCCTCTCAGCCTCTCAGAAGGGCATTGTAGGCAGTTAGGCAGCCATTGGCAGCCTTGATGAACAGCAGGCTCTTGCGGTGCCTGGAACTGACATCCCCTTTGTGGAACTAGGGCCAGTCAATCCTTCCTCTATATGAGCCTTGAAATGTGTGGGGTGAGTTTTGTTTCACAGAAGGGAAAGAGGCTGCCTAGGCCAGAGCTGTCCAGACTGGAAGTAGGGCCAGGATGCTGACTGCTGTGGGGCTCCTTAAGCCCAGGCCCCCACTTACTTCTTCCTCTCTCATCCTCACAACTGTCTTTGTTTTACTCCTTTACCCCCCAGGGGCTGACATGGACCCAAATCCACGAGCAGCCCTGGAACGCCAACAGCTGCGTCTCAGGGAGCGGCAGAAATTCTTCGAGGACATTTTACAGCCAGAGACAGAATTTGTTTTCCCCCTATCCCATCTGCATCTGGAGTCGCAAAGACGTGAGTTTCAAGTCCTGAGGAATAGAATTCGGGTGGGTAGGGGAAGATGTCCCCAAATGGCTTTCAAATTTTGGGAGCCATCTCCCTTCCTGTTTTTGTGGTCCAGTAAACTCAGCCTTGGCCTGGTCTGCCTGCCCTACACCCTCTCTCATCTGCAGCCCCCATAGGTAGCATCTCGTCCATGGAAGTGAATGTGGACACGTTGGAGCAGGTGGAGTTTATTGACCTTGCAGATCAGGATGGAGCAGATGTGTTCTTGCCTTGTGAGGACTCTCCGCCAACTCCCCAGATGTCTGGTATGCCTCTCTGCTTGGGGGACCTGGGTACCATTTGGCCAGCGCTGGATGTTTGGGCCCAGAAATGAGGTTGCAAGTACAAGTTAGGGAAGAATCTTAAGTAGAAGCTGGAAGTGTGTCTCTGTTAGAGAAACAGCTCTGATTTAGGGAAGTTGCCTCTCAAGGGGAACTTGTCTAGGAATGGCTAACTACTTGAGATTTTAAATTTTTATATTTTTGGAACTCATGTAATTACCATAATTACCATAGGTCATGTTAGATAACCTAAAATGTACTCATAGTACTAAATTTCACCAAATGATTTACCTGGGTTTTTAATATTGTACTAAAGTACTTTACATTTTTTTCTCTCAATCCTTATAATGTCCTATGAGGACAAGAAATAGACTTTTCGTTTCATAAAGAAGGAAGTTAGAAGCCCAGGGGTGGTGGCGCACACCTGTAGTCAGGTGGATCTCTGAGTTCGAGGCCAGCCTGGTCAACAGAGTGAGTTCCAGGACAGCCAGGGCTACACAGAGAAACCATGTCTTGAAGTTAAGAGGCTAGGGGTTGAGTTCAGAAGCATGGTATACACAGTATGCTTACCTGGCAGCTATAAGACCCTGTGTTTGATTCTAGCGCTGAAAAAAAGAAAAGAAAATTAGATTCAGAGAAGTTCAGTCACACAGGCAGAAAGTGGAAAAGCTGGTATTCAAACCCTGTATCTGGTTCCAAACTCTGGATGCTTAACATGTAAAACACATACTCTTCTTTAAAACGGCCATTGACATTGCTAGATCCCTCTAGTCACAGGCCTCAAGAAACAGAGGCAGGATGATCCTGAGTTTGAAGCCAGCTACAGAGCAAGACACTGTCTGAAAAACAAAAAACAAAAAAAATTGCTGTTATTTCCTAATGGACTCAGACATTTGATACACATTCTTAAGAGTTTACCCTAAAAAGTCAGAAATGTAGTTGTCCTTCCTTGATAGGGAAAATGACTTGCCTACAGCTATTCAGGAAGACGTGAGGGAGAGCCTGAGCTCTTGAATTGCCTCCAGCACATAAGATGATACAGTGATATGGAAGGGGCTGGAGATCCTAATCCTGGCTCCTTTCTGACTGGGGAAGTAACTCTGGACAGGTGCCCATCCTTCTCTGTACTTCAGTTTCCCTGGCCAGATACATCTCTGAGTTCTCTAAAGCCCTGTGTGTGGCCCTGACCAGCTCTTCTCTATGGGTAGGAGTGGACAACCATCCAGAGGAATTGAGCCTGCCGGTACCCACGCCAGACAGGACCACATCCCGAACTTCCTCCTTGTCCTCTGACTCGTCCAACCTGCGCAGTCCAAATCCAAGTGATGGGGGAGCAGACACACCCTTGGCGCAGTCTGATGAGGAGGATGGGGATGATGGAGGGGCAGAGCCTGGACACTGCAGCTAGCACTGGGCCTCTTGTGGACTGGCCAATCTGGCTGTTCTCCTTAGAGAGGGGATCCCAGGCCCAGCAGAGCACTCTGGAGAAGACCTGACACTTTACTTGCCATCAGCCCCAGAGTGAGAAAGGATGGTGGATGTTGTACCTGAGAACTAGCCTTCCCCCGCTTTCTGCTAACTTTCTCCCGCTGCAACCTTCCCAGTGCTTTTCTTCTGAGGTAGGACTTCCAAATGAGAAGCTATTAGATCAGCATCTTGTAGGACAAGATGCCAATGCTTTCAATGCCAGTACCCCTCCTGCCCCCCAATGACCCTGCAGTCTTCTGCCAGAGTCTCCTGAGTCAGTGTCTGAGGGGAAGTTCTGAGGAGTTCCACTTGGCACTCTGTGAGGTTGTACTGCTGTAATCCTGCCTCTTTAAATCCTTTTTGGAATAGAATATAGTGTAAATAATAAACTATAATATACCACTCATTTCACCTCATTCTTCACATTGCAAAGGTACCAAACCCGCTGCCCTCAACTAACCAGTGTCATATCTCCATCATTCATTTACTCCAGTTAGGCAAGAAGTACTTAGGACTTTAATATCTCTGCAAGGCATTTGGAATAGAGTTCTGAGTAAGGTGAAGTGCTTTGCTGTTTTCACAGTTTACTGTCTGTGGTGGAGAAAATCAGGTAAATGCAATTCATAGTATAGTAAGTAGCATGAGGTTCTCCTCTGGTATCAGGAAACAAAATTTAAGAAATAATTTCTTAAGCAGAGAGCTAAAGGACAAATAGGAGTAGCCAAGCTGGGCAGAATGAAAGGGATCTAGCCAGGGAGAAGCTGCAGCTTGTAAACAGTAAGTGGAAAAGCAAGCTGGATGCGGGGACTCATGTGTGTAATCTCAGCACTTGAGAAGCAGAGTCAGGAGGATCAGAGGTTCAAGGACAGCTTTGGTTTCATAGCATATTTAAGATCAGCCTGGGTTTCATGAGACCCTGTTTCAAAAATAAATAAATAAATAAAATTAAGCAAAGAAGAAGAAGAGACTAAGAGACTAGCCTAAAGAAGCTAAAAAGCATTTAGTTTGGATAAATTCTTGGATTTGAAAACATACAGGGAGCGGTAAACTTGACAAAGGTCAGATTGTGAAATGCTTTGAAGCCTGTATTAGGTTTCAGTTTGACAGCTAGTAAAAGATCATGACTTAAGATACACATTTATTTCCTCATACTAAAGACGTCCAAAATACAAGGCTGAGGGGACACTCCATAGTAACTGAGCACCAAGCTGCTTTTTGGGTTGTTTTCCTTAGCCATCCAAGGCACATGACATCAGTTCTTGCCCACACCTCGTATTTAATGGTTGACAAAGCATTTGCCAGCATGGCTTTGAAAATGGCAGGAAACAAGAGAATAAACGGGCACTGGGCAAAGAGGGCACAGCCTGGGGTCTGTTCTCATGTGGGAACTGTAAGAAATGGTACCCACTTCTATTTCAATGTCAAGAATTTTATAACAGAAAATGTCTCATTATAACATTTTATAAATACCTCAACACAGCATTTTCTAGAAGAGGAAATTCTACCTTTTGGAAAGACAATAACCCTTTCAAATCTGATGCCAGTGCATCAGACTCCAGTACTCCTACCATCTCTGAGAAACACCTAGAGTGAGGCTGGGATATCCCTTTTTGTAGGGGACTCTACTGTCTTGACCAGTCAGGGTTTTGCTACTAAGGAGTAAGAGGATAGTATTCATTAGCAGCTGACATAGTAAAAGGTCCCATTAAGGAGTCGGAACTTTATTGGGAATAATGAAGGATTAGAAGTGGTACTAATCTCGAATGTTGGGACAAAGACCCAAATCGTCATGGCCAAATCAAGCAAACAAGCCTTTTTATTCATGTACACAGGTGGTCTGCCGCTAAAGGCAGGGTTCCAGAGATCAGCCTTGAGCATGAGGAAGATAGCTCAGGGGTAGGGGTTTTCCAAATGGGGGAGTTGGCAAGCAAATAGGTGAGGTTACAGAAGCAGAATATAACAAGGTGATCATATCAACAGATAATCAATTACAACTTTTTGAAACAAAGGTAGGGTTGCAAAATGATCATTAACAAGTTTTTGAAACAAAGACATGATTGCCATTTCTTGGAGCCGGCAGTATAGATAGAACCGTTTGTAGTTAAGGTTATAGGTGTGGCATAGCCCAATCCTTGAGGTTTAATCATAAACAGGAATTTGTGTTGAACTATAAAATGACTTCCCAGCCTAAGATGGAGGAAGGCTGGTTCATCAGTTGGACTTGCTTGTTTAAAAGGTAATTCTGGCGGCAGTTTAGAGAATATACTGGAGAAGGCAGGCTCTAGACAGACGGATAATAACATAGCAATGTATGAAAGTGATAATGGCGGTCCCATTGGTAGTGGTGACTGGATCAGGGTGTAAACAAACTAACATGAATCGTTCCATAAATATTACTTACTGATATTTAACAAGTGTAAAACACAAACACAGCATTGGCCAAAAGGGGGGTGGGGGTGGGCGGGAGAAAGAAAGAGTCAATTCTGTCTTAGAGCTCAGTGTAGTGGAGTTCAAATGTGAATTTGCAACTATGACTAGTGCCACAAAGCAGCCAGCTTATTCAGAGAGGTCACCAGGGATTCTCCCTTGAGGAAGTGACATTGGAGCTGAGATCTGAATAACAAGTAGGGATAAGCTAGGGAAGACATACTGAAACCCCTTGTGGCATACTGATTGGAAAGGACCCAGAGCCTGGAAACCAGATGATTGCATTCATCTAAATAAGAGATAGGAGCCGAGGTAGAAATGATGGGTAGGAAAGACTTCAGAGGCAAACTTAGAAACCTTTTTAATGGGTGATGTAGGAAGGGGACAAAGGTACCAGCGTTGTTTGTCTGTTACCCTGTAGGATGGTTTGCAGGGTTTGGGCTGAAGATTGTAATAAATTTGTTTTAGATGTATTGAGTGTGAGTGTTTTTGATACATCCGAGACAACACAAAGTAGGCACCTGGATCCACAAGCGTGGGATTGGGTAAAAGGAATGGACTGAAAAAATACTCGTTAATCAGTGCATGGGTGGGTGAAGCCATAGTGAGGATGAACTTGCCCAGGAAATGTTGAATGAAAGAAATTTTAGGATCCACCCTTAAGGATCTCTAGTTCATTTTTCACATTAAAAAGTCATTAGACGTCCCACCTGTCATATATCACCTGCAGGATTGGTGACTTTTAGCCTGAATCCCAAAACTCTTCAGGCTGAGTGACACTTGGATTATAGTTTCAGTTTTTTTCCTCGTGGAAGCCATTGTAAGTTACTGTTCCTAAGAATACTGAGAAATTTGTGGCATCTCCAAGGAAGCTAGAATGTCTTTCAGCTTTTCCCTGTCTCTCTAAACTTGTAGCATAGATACCTTCTGCCCCAAAGTCTCTGGGTTCAAGCTGAGATTATCTGTTAAGTTGGGCCAAGTTAACTCCTAGAATTTCTCTTAAGTTGCCTACGACTTTTCTGTATACAAATAACAATCTGTGTCCGTGCCCACCCTCCCTGAGCATAGCTCTACCTCTTTGATGGTCCCATCTTTCTCTTGAGCTTTGGCATCTGAACCCCCAGCTCTGACAGGACTTTTGGGAGCACCCTCTTCAGGGTGAATGGTGAAAAGCTGTACTTACTTGGTCACCATCAGCATTCCAATAAATCTTTTAGTTCTCTCCACACACAATACTAAGATTGTGGAGTTTGGAGCAGGAGCCTTCTTGGGGGAGGGATCTATAGCACTCTTGAGAAATAGAATTGTGAGTCTCTGGGAAATCGCCAGTTGAGCTAGTATGAGCCCCAGCTCTGTCTGGAAAAGACTGGGGTCAGTGGGACCACAAGACCACTTCCTGGTTGGGACAATGACCTCTCCTTCTGCCAAACCACAGGGGGCTGGCCAGCCTTCAGAGGCTTCATCTACAGCTGACTATTTCCTCAGACTACACAGTATCCTTGGAGACAGCATGCTGATTTAGCGCCAACTCCAAATTAAGGAGCCCAGCATTTAGTCTTCCAAGCCACAGTGTGGCTTCTTTCTGTTACCAGGCTAAGTAGACATCCTGATAGACTCTGAAGAGGGATTCTCCAGCCTCCTGAAAGAAGACTAAACTCATCTCTGCAGAAACTCGTGCTATGGAGGAAACAGAAGAGATCACAGGTTAGGAGAGTCACTAAAACGTCACCCTGCAACAGTCGCCAGGAGTGTGCAGAACCTTGCAAACAGCATGAGCATGTGAAGACAAGAGTACTGTGGTGTCCTGATTATTCATTTAAGTATAACTGAGTATACCTACAATGCGCTGGCATTGTAGAGACAACAAAAATTCCAAGGTGACCAAAGAGCTTCCTCAGGAACAGACATGGCCCAGATAATGGAAATGGAACGTAATGAAGGCTGCAGTACAACTGCACAGATGACTGTGGCCTGCTACAGGAGGTGGGTGGGCTGTGATGATGGGGACAATTTCAAGAGGAAACAGCATAAACTGAAATAGCCATGGCTGCTTCCTTTGTAAGAAATTATTTGGAGATTGTAATGTAGCCTCTTTCCTGGCTCCGCCACTCACTGTGAAATTATCTCAGTTTCCATACTGTAGTTTCCTTATCTATTAAATGAAGATTGTCCTCAACTGGTAGAGTTGTTTGAAGAGATGGCTATTAGTCCCCAGTGTGTAATGATAACAAGGACCCTGAAAGTAGGTAGGTTTTTTTTTAAACAATTCCTTCTATTTGTGTATGTGTATCCGTGGAGGCCAGAAGAGGGCACCAGATGCCCTAGAACTGGAGTAGTAGGCAGTTGTGTAGCAATCAGGGTAAGTGCTGGGAACAGAACTGTGTCTTCTGCATGAGGTACAAGTCCAAGTGCTTCCAGCCACTGAGTCATCTCTCCAACCCCCTGAAAGTAGGCTTTTGTGGATGAGGAAAAGTGACATACAGGTTGCTCATACTTAACACAGATCAGGACTCTGAACCTTTACCTGACATCAAATCTCTCTCTCACTACTGCAAGTCTAATGGGATCAGAAACACTAGATGTGGGGCAATGAGTCATCTTTTCAATAATTTTATTTTTTAATTCTGTGTGTGTGTGTCTATATAGATTTGTGCACATGAATTCAAGGGCCCCCAGAGGCTAGAGGCATTGTGGATGTGGGGAACCAAACTCAGGTATCTGGAAGAGCAGTAAGTGCTCTTAGCCAGTGAGCCATCTCTACAGACCCTAAAGTCATCGTTGAACAATTCATTTCTTGTTGGAGTCTATTTTGGTTGGCCTTCCTAAGACCAAGTTTGAGCTCTTCCTAGGAATACAGTTGTTATTTTACTCAAGAGCCTGCTGACAAAATCCTCCATGAATGTTTTTCCTGGAAGGCAAGTGGAAAAACATAAATAAGTTTAATATTGGAACAGCTACAGACCAATAATAAAGAAAAAAGGAGTACAAAAAGGTAACAGGTCTTTCATGAGAGAAGACGCATGAATGGATGACAAGAACATGAACAAGTGAGGTGCACAACACCATAGTGAGGAAATGCAAAGTAGTCCTACAGCAAGATCATCCAGAGAGCTGCATCCAAACCTAAAAACAACAAATGTTAGGAGGATATGGAGCAACCACAACTCCTGGTGTTTTTATTGTTGTTTGGGTTGTTTATTTATTTAATTTGTGTTTTTGTGACAGGGTTTCTCTGTGTAGCCCTGGCTGTCCTGGAACTCCACTCTGTTGACCAGGCTAGCCTCAAACTCAGAGATCATTTTTCTTTGCCTCTGCCTTCCAAGTGCTGGGATTAAAGACTTGTACCACCACTGCCCAGCTAACCTGCATATTTTTAATAGACAAATAAAATGACAGGTTTTGGAGAAATGTCTGTTTCTTACTATAAACATTAAGCATACATTTTCTCTTTGATTCAGCCATCCTGCCCCTAAATATTCTTCCAAGGGACATGATAAACCCAAATCTACAAAGCAACTTGTATAGACTATAATCAACCTTGTCCACTATAACCAAAACTGCCAAGAACTCCGATGCCCAACAACAGAATGAAGAAACTGGCTTATCCACACAATGTTAGCACCACATAGCAGTAAACAGAATGTCTTAGACACATGGGAACAAGAGGCCACACAGCACCGTGTCCGTGGAGATGAGAGGATGATGTAGAACCAACTCTCATGAAACTATGCTTTCAGTCCCCAAACCACAATGTGGTTTCAAAATCATTCCTTTCAGAAAAGAACAGACAAAAAGTTACACTATGGTGTCATTTACATTTAGTCCTAGAACAGATCAATCTGTTACAAGAACATTGGTTTGCTTCTAGAATGTGTTCTGGAGATAGACATTGACAAGGAAGAGTAATTAGCCACTTTCTGGGACTTTAGGTTGTTATGGTTAAGTTTTGGGGTTCCCTCCCGACACACACTGCTATGCTGGGTATGAACCCAAGGTCTCATGGATACTAGGCACTCTGCCACTGAGTTAGTTACGATCCCAGCCCCAGGTCTTAGGAACATTTTATATCTTGTTTAAAATTGGGGTTTCCAGTGGTATAGTAATCAAAACCCAGCTGATTTGACGAGAGAAACGTGAACCAAACTGGACTTTGAGAATGGAGTACATCCGTGTGTGAAATTTATTCTGTGGTGGCATCAAAGCTGAGACGAGTGGACTTGTGGGTGGGTGGGTAGCCATAATGTTAATGGTGGAATGAATTTACGTGATTGGAGAAACTTTTAACAGCTGCTCATTCTTTCAATTATGCCACACAGTTTAAATTACTTATAATAAAAGACCGCGGGGATGGAGTTGCTGGCTAGGTTTAGAGCCAAGTAAAGAGACTGGGCGTTTGCCGCTCACACCTGTAGTCCCAGCACTCGGTGCTGTGATTTTTCCAGTTCGTTCCCTCGACTACGAAATGGCCATTCTGCACATTGAGCACTTCCTAGCGGGGGGGACGCACCTCGAAGTGCGTGGGCCCTCAAGCCAGCCTCCCCTCCCCGCCGCAAGCCCACGCCCGTTCACGCTAGGTCGGCAATCTCCAGGGCGCGCGGACCGGTCGCGGTGTGCCTCCAGGAACCGCACTGCGGTTTCCGGACATCACCGGAAGTCCTTTCTCACTCGCTCTTCCTATTGGATGCCGGCTTTAGGATG